TCAACGGTAGGTGTTGGCCAGGCTGCGCAGTCCGTAGGAGTCCATAAATTCTGGCACAAATGGAGGACACGTCTAGGCGCAGACTTGGAGCCGCACCGGCCACTACGCCCACTTGGGGATAATAGAAGGAGAACAGGTTCGAACAGTGGACTGGTGCGAGGTAGAGGGTGGAAAATAAGACCGACGCGGCGAAACCTTTTTTTGACACGCTGAGTCCTAGCTTGAAAGGCAGTCAGCTGACGGGTCACACGTAAACGGGTTTACCTTTGGCAGCCACTGTGTCCGAGGCCGCCTCCAGTCGCTCTGACTTTGTCTAACCAGTGGATCCAGGAGGGAGTGTGACAGATGCTGCGCAAGTCTGCCTCGCTGTAAACTAGTTTACGCGGAATTCGCCGTCCTGCGCCTACCATGTCGCGGAGTACGCGGCGGGCATTGTCGCTCTCCCGTGCGCCAATTTGTTTTGCAGTCTTTATGTTCTGCTTGCCCTTTTCTTCTTATGTTTAAAATGTTGGGGCACGAACTGAAGCACACAGTTAGACGGCGTATGAAGAGTTACGTTGACGAAATATGCAGAAAAAATGGCATGGAGTAACACCTCCTCATCGAGTTAGTAAAGTCCCACAATGGAGGGATCCGATACGAAGTCGCTATCGGAACGTTCGTTGGACTTCTACTCTAGTGAAAAATGTGCGCACGAGGTCGTCGATATCACGTGCAGATGATATCTGTAGCAAGGACAATCTTACACTATTACAGCACCAACAACAACAACAACAACAACAACAACAACAACTACTACTACTACTACTACTACTACTACTACTACCGCTACTACCACTACCAGCTCTGCTAGTACTACTACTAACAGCAATAATAATGATATTTGTGACGTTGCTAATTAGACTGCCTGTCAACTGTGCTACCAGGGCCGATCATCGGTAGAAATTGAGCCTAGTGACCGGCTGCGGCCTTCTTCTAAAGATGGAAACAATCCATTGCATTTTACTGTGTGGTTCGCACAGGAAGGAATCTCGAACTTGCATGTCTGCCAAAGCTCACTTACTACTTAGGTTGATAGTTGCACTGAGTCACATATGAACGCTCATAGTTAGTATACGTCCCCGTTTAAGCTGTAGACGATAAGCGCTATTAGGTAAGACTTCAATGGATTGTGAAAATGTCTACTTGTACCCTCTTTAAATCAGAATAATGACACGACGATCTGCTGATCGACAAATTGTTCTCCGCTGAGTGAATTCAGGCTAATTGCGTTTCGCCCAGTCTCACGGACACTCTCTCCAACTGTTGTCCAGGCTTGTTGACGACTTACTTGAGGGTCCCTTGACACAGCGAGGGTTATCCTCTCTGTTCCTCTCCCCTTGACTTATCATTTTGAAACCTTGCCATTGTTGTGCATCCTTCGCGACAAAATTACCGATAATTGATAATATTTTGCATCAACCTTCCCTTATTACCACAAAAATATTTACATGACTGCCTATCTCCTCTTACGATGTTGTTTGTTGGCATTTCTGCAACCAGCATCCCCTCAATTTTTAGAACGTGTTGGAAAGGTTTCTTTGAAAAAGACTTGCAGTTGAGTTTCACATCTTTATTGCTCGCATCAAGTGGACAAAAGACGTCAAAGAGATGCGCTGTACACATCAAATGTACATCTGAGAATTGTTTAAAACAAGTACCAACTTCAGTGTAGAAGGTCCTATCCTAAGACAAAGTTATAAAAGCTCTTACGAAATCCAACATTCTCAGGTCAACTTCGCATTCTGTTTTATCCTGTGTCTTCCCTATGGTCCTCATATCTTATCGGGGGAAGTTTCCCCATCTTAGATAAGCCGGTTGCCATTCGCACTTGAAAAGTCGCTGTGGTATAAAAGTGTTGACAAATTTTCTCCCTCTTCCTATTCGATGGCGTGCTATGTCTAAGCTCGGAAGCTCATTTCTCCAGTTCGTTTTTAGAACTCTTCACCCTCCTCTTCGCCCTCGGCTTCCACGGTGTCTGCACCAACTTCCTCATAATCCTTCTCCAGGGCCGCCAAATCCTCTCGTGCCTCAGAAAATTCGCCCTCCTCCATTCCCTCACCGACATACCAGTGGACAAAACAGCGCTTAGCATACATCAGGTCAAACTTATGATCTAGTCGAGCCCAGGCCTCTGCAATGGCTGTCGTATTACTAATCATGCACAGTGCTCGCTGCACCTTCGCCAAGTCGCCACCGGGTACTACGGTGGGCGGTTGATAGTTGATGCCGACCTTGAAGCCGGTTGGACACCAGTCAACGAACTGGATAGTCCTTTTCGTTTTAATTGTGGCGATAGACGCATTGACGTCCTTGGGCGTTATATCGCCTCTATATAGCATGCAACAGGCCATATATTTTCCGTGTCGTGGATCACACTTGACCATCTGATTGGCGGGTTCGAAGCAGGCATTGGTGAGTTCGGAGATGGTCAGTTGTTCATGGTAGGCCTTTTCTGCCGACACCGTGGGTGCATATGTTGAGAGGGGAAAGTGGATGCGTGGGTAGGGCACGAGGTTGGTTTGAAATTCAATGAGATCGACGTTGAGGGCGCCATCGAAGCGTAGAGAGGCGGTGATGGAACTGACGATCTGAGCGATGAGTCGATTGAGATTTGTGTATGTTGGTCGCTCGATGTCCAAATTACGTCTGAACGAGAAAATAAGATAGTTAAAGCAACAGAATTGCATCCTCCCTAGTCGGGATGTTAAATTTGGCAGATGAGACGCACGTTGTATTTGATACTAACTCCCCGATCCAATAAAAAGTACCAACTATTAGCTAACAGTTGTTTTAAGGTCCCTACCCAGTTATCGCGCTTGAAATCTCGCTCTTTTGCGTTTTTTTCCGTTTGCATGAGGGAATTCTCGGGGCAATTGTTAAACGCCTGCGCGTCCTTGACCTACATACAGCTCCCAGACGTTGTAAATTTGCCAATCCCGCCACTACCCACGGCATGCGCTTCCCTCCAAAGGGAGAATTAGTTTCACTGGAGCAACCTACGACTAATAACTCGAGCAAACATCACCTGGCTCATAGAGGGTTTAATTCGCGGACCATTTTCCACAGTGGGCTGACAATGGATAGCACTTGAAGAGTAGAAAGACTCAAAGGGCCTACGGTGGGCCCTACCAATTTTGTGTCGGATTAGCATCGTCTGACAATTGAAAGTGGGCTCTGCTGGCCCAGTATTCTACCAAAAATGTCGCATGAGCCGAATTTCCGGCCAGTAGGAAACCAACCATAAAAACTGACCAACTCTTTCACATGGCGCATGTGCGTACTTTAAATTCTGAAATTGGTAGCCCTCCATTCAGCCAACTACCAAAGGCAATAACAATACCGTTGGCTGCACTGGACTCTGTGAGATGGAGGCATGTCTAATACGCAGATATATACTCAGTGAAGCTGCGGCTTCGGATGATACAGTTATAACTTCGATACTTTACCTGAAACACTTATAGGATTGAGGCATAGCCTACTTCTGGTATCAAACTTCTGTGATATATTTACAGGTAAGCCCCAACAGCGTCATTCCTAAGTCTCACGTACTCCAAACTTCCCCATTACTCACCTGCCTAGGTTCGCCATTCCTAAAAATAAGGCGCTCCAGGCTACAATGGGCAGTTGGGCGCTTGTTGACTTGTTCGCCTGTGCTGGACTCTCAACTATTCATACTGACCCAACTGTGAAAAACTCGGCGCCTCGGTGGGATTCGAACCCATGCAGTAAGTGGAAGGCTTTAGTACAGCCAACGCTCTAACGTAACTCAAGTGGTTAGAGCGTTGGCTGTACCAAAGCCTTCCTCTTACTGCGTGGGTTCTAATCCCACCGAGGCGCCGAGTTTTTCACAGTTGGGCCAATATTGATTATTCAAAATCTGCCAAAATACTTATGAACTCTCAACTATGATACAATGTCAAACGCTGTTTAGATGATCATCTTTTACGTCAACCTGTGGTTAACCACTTACCGACATACGTCGTAGATGGCCTCATTGTCGATCATGAAAGCACAGTCCGAATGTTCCAATGTAGCGTGAGTGCAGAGGATTGAGTTGTAAGGCTCGACAACGGCGGTTGAGATCTGTGGCGCAGGATAGATAGCAAACTCCAGTTTAGACTTCTTTCCGTAGTCCACACTGAGACGTTCCATCATGAGTGAGGTGAAACCGGAGCCTGTTCCTCCACCAAAGGAGTGGAATATGATGAAGCCTTGCATGCCGGTGCACTGGTCAGCCAGTTTTCGAATTCTGTCCAAAACCAGGTCGACTATTTCTTTGCCGACGGTATAGTGACCACGAGCATAGTTGTTTGCAGCATCCTCTTTTCCACTGATGAGTTGTTCCGGATGGAACAGTTGCCGATATGTTCCAGTCCTGACTTCATCTTTAGAGAATGCAAAGCACTTTGAATTGTCTGTATTTACTTCGTGGACCGACTCTGTTTAAATTGTATAGTTTCAGATAATTGGCATAGTCAGCTACGTTAATGGTCGGTGCAACTTCTGGAACTGTGGAAGGGGGAAGATCGACTACGGATTTCGATTGCTAACTTTTATACTGTTCGGCTTAAATGAGTACTATTGCCTTTAAGATTGAGAATACAATTATTATCGCTGCCAGCACTACTACTTCTATGGACATTAGTACTACTTAACTATTATTATTACTAGTTTTACTGCTAGAACTACTAGTAAGGATAATACTGACGACAGCAGCAATTTCGGCAAGTGTTATAGCGGTCGATATATCCCACTCACCCACTACTGTTGGCTCAAGATCCATCAACACTGCTCTGGGGACGTGCTTGCCAGCACCGGTTTCACTGAAGAAGGTCTGAAAAGAGTCATCGCCACCTCCAATCGTTTTGTCGCTGGGCATTTGTCCATCAGGCTGAATTCCGT